TTGTTAACAATACTGCACAAACTATCACATTCTTTTTGCCGCATTTTTGCAGCTATCCAATCCATCGAACAAGCTTCACCTTTGTTCAATTTAGTATAACTGCTCCTGGTGAATACCTTGTGTGCCCATCTCTTGAAAAGCAAAAGCTTTCCAACCCGAATTCCTTCCCAACTGCCCCATTTTAGATTCCAAATTTGTGGCAACGCGCTCCATAACTGGAACTTGCAATCTCGATATTGTGACACAGACTGTTCTCTTAGAAACGGTGTTTCCTAACGATTTTAGACTCAGTAGAGGGTAAAACCAATACAGAATCTCATCTGCATTTCTTGATGATTCTTTGAACTTCTTAAGAAAAGAAATCACGCTATTTATTGAGAGCACTCTGATAACATTTTGAGTTGGATATAATTTGCTTCTGCTTGCTCCAACTACAACTATTCAGGTTCTTGACCTGTAACACATTTCGAGCCAAAGCCGCGTTACTTTCAATCTCATTATCTAATAAGATAGAATCTGCGGAAGGTTCAACGCAATTAGGATCTATTTCGATATATATTATTATATCAGCATATTTTTAGCAAGCTTCCGCCTTTCTAACTGAACTCCATGTGCTGAGAGATATGCATTTCAAGAAACACATGGGATTTAGGCTCCAGTTCAGCTAAGGCTCTCCTTCAATTAATTACCAAAAATCGACTACCTTAAATCATGCTAACTGGTTTCGCAAACTCCTAGATTGTCGATTATAGAAAACTATAAATCTTCTTTTGAAAAATCATCGCATACCTGCGCTGCCACCCACAGCGCTGATCAAGATTTTTTCAGGAAGGAGAGAAACTCTTATGCTAGAGCGATGTTATCGTCATAGTAAATAGTTCATAAGAAATTTATTCGGAGATCCAACGCGATTAGGTTAAATATGTTATGGATATATCGAGAGAGAATAACATGCAGTAATGTCGGCCCCAATTAACAAACCATATGCGTTTAAATATCAGATGGTGGCTATCTACGCAGTTGTTATAATCGTTGGTCTCTATAGAATTTTTGCCATTGTGCAGGTTTGTTTGCTTTTCGCTCTCTTCGCTTCTGTTTTCTTATTCTGACCTTTAAACTTCTTTCTGGTTTATAGAACTCAGAAGAGGGTGCCGTTTATGAAGTGACCACACGTTGTTATCAGAAATACTGGTACCAACTTACTTTCCAGAATGTTAGTTTACATACTTTTCTTTTCTTTCAACATCAAAAATCATTCAGTTTATTTACCTTCTTCCAATCCTGGCTCAACGATGTGCACCATCCTTCCATGCTATGGGAGTGTATCATTTTGGCGATGAAGGAGAGTGGAGATACAGCATGATTCCAGAAGTTAATGTAGGTTGTTTGGTTGCACCCAGTCACATTCGACATCTGCAGAACATTTGGGCATGATTCGCTTAGAAAAGAAGCGCAGATGCTGTTTAGTGTGTTAGATGTTAGTGTCCTCATTATTCACTAGAAATTGGAATGCTTTCGCTTGATTTACGAGCTTGATCGGAGAAAAAGGTGTACAAC